GACTGTCGGAATAACGATAACTATATTGTCAAGACCATTCGTTATTTCGAATACATATTATATACAGAATTTATTATTTAGACAATGTATTTTGGTTTAACTTTCATACGCAGGTGTTTTATTGTTCGTTATTTAGAGAGCACATTATATCGGGTATTCATTAAACCGATAACCGATATTTATCGGTTATAAAAGGAAATCAATGCACTGACCTTAAATATTATTTAATAGTTGCTAAAATAAAATGTGAATAAATTTTAAATATTGAAATGAATTTTTCTGTTACTTAAAATCTGACATAGACTAGACCCTTCAAAACAGTAAAATTATCCTTTACTAATATGAGTAGTTGTTCCAACTCCTTTTCCGACTAATTTGAATATATAATAAAATGAAGTTGTAAACTTGTTTTAAATGATTTTGTCATAAATCTTACAAATTTTTTTCAAGAATATACGAGTATATTGCTCCAATAGTTATGATAGCACAATAAAAGAAGTAGATTCTTTGAAGCTATTTATTTTTATAAGGATGATCTGAGAAAGAGTTGAAGGGTCCAAATACTAATAGTAAAATATCAAATAAACACTATTAAAATTCTTTAATAAGGCTTCTACGTTTTGTTATAAGTTAATGGACTGTTACTGAAACTCTATTGTTTCGGAAAGTAAATACCAGGCATTGATGAAATGCTCAACTTTTAAGTCTGTATGATTTTAGAAGAAACTTTTGATTTTCTAAAATAAATGGAATGAAATGAAAATCATGTATGTTTACTTCATTTTAAATTAGTTTATTTTTATTTCTTGTCTGTTGAGTTTTAATTACTCCAACTGCTTTCGTAAAGTTACTTTTACGAGATAATTAAAATACTTTTCTGCAGTTAATTTCTCTCCGTGCAATTGTTTTGACTGACTTTGGCTTATGTTTTCTGAAAAGTAAGGATAAAAAATTAGAAAAACAAAATTCTGTCATATTTTCAAACTGACATCTTAGCTTCCATTTATTTTGTTTACTAGCGTTATTAAGGATGAGGATGTAAGGATGTTAGGATGTAACGATGTAAGGATGTAAGGATATGTATATGTAAACATAAACAATCGTAAAATGAATCCACAAATAAACGCAGATGGAAACAAAGAAGAATGCTTTTTACTTTCATTCTTGCTACTTTTTTACGAACTTTTCAAATTAAGTTCCTGCTCGAAATTAAATCCGTTGCACCGAAATATTTTGACGCTGTACTCACCTCCTCACAATCCCTCTTTCCACCCGGAGAAAAAGAGTAAACTCTATAACAAGTATAAAATAGAATGAAATTGAACGCAAAAGAGGATATTATTTCCAAAAAGCATAACAAAACCAGCGCGACATCAACTGCAAAAATAGTGAATAACAATGGAAATGGAAATAATAAGTTGAGATTAATGGTAAGTGTGCACCTTGCCAAAAAATCCACATGCGCTACACTTGCAGTCAGCGTAGTTGGTGCTGTGGGAAAAGCCACCATTAAAGGTGGCGCTCATGAATTTTTATTGCTGATTTCACTAAAGAAATTGCGATTTGGCAGCTGCACTCATGGTCGCTTATGCGGCGCTGGTCCTATTACCCTTACAAGCTTCAAAATCGTCTTTGAGTTGCATTCTGAATGCTTAAAGACAGAAATATTCCGAACAGAGTCAATAATAGGAAACCTAAAGCTGTACAATTTGCGAGTCCATGTAAGGACTCACAAATGGTGTATGTCACAGGATACCGACGTGAATTTGTATATCCTTCAAAGTGCTATGAAGCAACAATTGTAAGCTCACATGTGTCTATTTGCATTGCTTGTTTGTCTGCAAAAATTTTAAAATTACTTTTGTTACTTTTAATTCATTTCGTTATATTTTCTTTTATTTCATATCATTTTCTTTAATTTTTCCTTTTTCCTTTTTTCTTGTGAGTTTTTTTTTTGTCTTGTTTTGTTTTGTTTTGTTTTTGATCCTTTCGGTAAGAAAATGGCTGTTGCTCACTGCCTCGGCAATGCGATGGTGTAAAACAGTTCGGAAACCTTTAAAGGATAATTATTTTTTTCGAGCTTTTTTGAAGAAATCTGAGTGAGGGCTGAGTGAATACCTACAACGCAGCTGAATATACTTGACGACGTTCTGTACTTCGCAAGGACTTGTTAGCTTTTCTTTTGTGGAAATGAAGACGTTTTAATTTGCATTTTCACTTTGTTGTCTTTTAACAAAATTGTTCAATTTGACAGTTGAGATGATGTCACATATTTTTTTCAGTTATTTTATTAAGAATATTAAAACCTTCACATTTCATTACAAACATAAGAGCCACTCTTTGTTAAAATTGAGTTTTCAGTTTTTTACGTGTAAAAAAGTGCTTGCAGAGTTGCTTATATGTGCCATGAAGTTTCATTAAAAGGAGTGCAGTTAAGTAGGAATTATTTTATTTTATGGATTTCTATACTGTTTGAAAACAATTTAAATTGTATATACTTCACCCAGCTTTTATTTTATGTTTACATCACAACAACAAATAAGTGTCACATATGATGTTGCTATACTAAACATTTCCTCAAATAAATAATACAAATATATATATAAACTATATGTATATATTTTAATTATTCACACCAAAACTATTGTTAACACCAAAAGTCTTCTAAAAGAATCTTTAAATAGCATAAATCCAAAATTTCTTTAAAATCAGTTCAGAAATAACTGGAAATAACTTATGCTCTCGTATAAATGAACTTTAGGCATTTTTAAGAATTAATATAACCGAACGAATGCAACTGGACTTCAAAATTACATCCAGATAGTACAGCGAAATAAGTCTTAAATTAATTTTTTTAAAATCATCCTAGTGCCATTCTCGAACGGAAGGAAAATTTTTCTTCGAAATATTACACTTCATGGAATCACAGTACCACTATTTCTAGTGACGATGTGAAAAATCTTGCATCCGAATAGATTAAACGATGGACAAACTAACAAAATGAATAATAACCTATTCACAAGGCATAGCTAGAACTGTTAAAGAACTCTATTCTAAAACTGTCTGAGAAATATTAAAAATTAATTTCGGAAGCCTTACACAATACTCGAAAAAAAAGTTTTGCTTAAAATCTTATAGGTACCTGTTGAGGTACCTACTAGTTGCACTTGTTGTGTTCAAAAAAAACCAACTAGAAAATCCATAGGTGGGGGTTTTCTTAATGTATGTAGTCTAAAATCACGGAATGAACTCATACGCGTGAACTCATAACATCTGTTGCAGACTTGTCCTTAATGCCTAAAGCTATTTGAAGTAGACCATATATCATGTCGCAACTCTACCACTTGAACAACGCCGAACGGTCAATTCTGAGTGGTACGCAACTATTTGTTTTTCAAATGCCTTCGAAAAACTGAAGACAACCAACCATCGAAGCAAGATCAAAGAGTTCAAACAAAAGAGTTTTTGAGCACTCAAAATGTTGAATTAAAGGATCATAATTCTAACAGTCCTGACTTGGCACCCAATGACTTCTCCAAACATTAAGAAAAATATACGTGGCGAGCGTTTTTCTACGCCTAAACAGGCCATTGGTACATTTAAAGCCCTGGTTTTGAACACACCAATTTAAGAGTAACAAAACTGTTTCGAAAATTGATTAAATCGAATGCAAAAAAGTATTTATCATCATGGCGAATACTTTGAAAAGCAATAAAACCATTTTAAAGGCTGCTCACGTATTATCAAATAATGTCAGTAGTGAAATAGTTTGTAAACTTCCATAGTACCTCACTTTCAAGCCCTAAAATCTAATTTTCCTAATTCACAAAGCTTGAGAGTAGGTCGTTGTAGTCTATGTTTTGTGTTTTACAATATCGAGTGTTTGTATGTTAAATTATAAGAAATTTTTCTTTCTAACTTCAAGATCTAAAGTTTGCGGAAAACTATAAATTTAGCTGAAATTAATATTAAAATTATATTTGCTTGTGTTTCGCTATAAATTCCATAAATATTTTGAAGTTCATGGAAATCTTGTAAGGTTTTTATGCGGAAACCATAAAAACATATGATCATTTCATTAAGAACTAAAGTAGAAAACCAATTGAATTCTATTGAATTTTTCTTAATTATTAAGACATTCATTACTTAATTACTTTAAATCATATTTGCCCACCTTTTTGGAATCTGTTTTATATTTGGTAGTCTTTAGTTGTAATTTTTATTATTAAAAGATAATTGTTTTTATATTGAAAAATATGAGTCGGTAATTTATTGACTGCCTTACGCTTCCGTTCATGGAAAATGCGAAATTTATATTGAATTGGCGCTACGAAGAATTACTTTGGGCTCAGCGAAACCAATTAGCATTTTTACGACTTCTGGAACGGTTAAACTGAATTCCATATTGGCCATGAAACTTCAAGAAAAACGTAACTGAATAAAAAATTCGTACCTCCGGAATGGAGTAGCGCCGAGTGCCAGTGCAACGGCGGGCGTTGAGGTTGTAAAACTTAATGGCACTTAATTAATTGGCCATAATAAAATGCGTAGTGGGTAAAATCGTAAAATTTTGATAGCGACTATAAAGGATAGTAACGGGTTGTTAAAATAGAGGCGATCGTAAAATAGCTTCAGTTTGTTTTTATGGTAAATTTATTTGTTGTGGAAGCTAAAATACTAAAAAAATTGCGAAAATTGCATTTTTATGAAAATAGGATGTGCCATCCTAGAGAATCTTTTACGACGTGCTAATATGATTCGGTCAAGGACAATTTAGTATACAATACAATACATGTATTGATTGAAATGCATATTAAAGTAATTTAAATGGAAAGTATACGGTTAACAAATGGTTTATGTACTTCCTGATGTATGATGTTGTTCCTTTTTATTGAAGAAAATTAGTTCAAAAAGCTCATAGTAAAGAGTACAAAAACTTTAATAATAATTTAACAAAATTTATAAACTTATTTAATAAATATATTTTTTATTTTTTGCAGACAAATACCCACCGCTTATTCCAAGGCTAATGGCGGTACCGCCATACCACTGCCGGCAACCGTTATGGTACAGCGACGCTGCCCTCCTGATAAAGTACGTCCCTTGCCGCCTACACCAAATCACACTCCATGTAAGTAAACAATTGCAAAAATGTTATGCAGTTTTAAAAATTAATCTAGAAAACATTTGAAGCAGTAATAAAAAAATTTATAAAACCTCAGTCTGGTGATAAGGAACAATGCTGTCCCTTGTCCCCTGTTGTACTAACTTCGTTTATCTGAAAGCATAGTCTACTTCTTAATACGAAATTATGTCAAAGTTTAAACTCTACAACCTATTCATGCCTTACTGAAATAGTACCATCGAGCTTCCGCCATTAATTGCGTGACCCATTCTATATACACCAAAAATTTGTTTGCACTTGTCGGTAACTCAGGGAAGGGGGAGGAAACCTTTCAACTTTATTTATACGCTCTTTTCATTGAATATCACAAAAACATCCCCGGAGACCTGAGCTTTGACAAATAAAATCTTTTTTAAAAGCTTTTCATATTTATTAAAAATGTTAAACAAAAAAATAAAATATGAAAATGAATTGAATTGAATTGAATGCATTCACTCCGATGAGGTGAGGTGAGGGAATATTGAGATTTTGACAAGCCACAGGCTTGAAGGCTGACCGAGATTCAGAAAATATAAATATCAACAACAGAAATGCAAAGGGCTACTGCATATGCTCGTATGTAAATGGGGTAGTTACTACAAATATGGATGGACCTCTTCGCACAGAACAAAACAGAACAGAAATCTGTGAACATAAGTAGTTGGAGTTAAAATCCAACCAAAGGAAGAGAACGCACAAGTACATCAAAGCCAACAGGGATTTCAAAATTTTAGGGTTGTAAATAATAATAATAATAATAATCGTAATAATAATGATGATGTCGCTACTGTTGCTGATAATAATGTTAATGACGTTGCTTCTAACGGTTATGGTGTTGGCGAATAGGTTTGTTTGGTGTCGTTTGTCACAGTGGTAATTTGTTTTAATTATCTCTTTGGATTCAGTGTTTGCTAACAAATGGATTACAGTTCAAAATTTTTACAAACTAGTTGGAAAGCATTAGTGGAAAGACTGACGAAATTCATTACAGACTTTAGTACTCATATCCAAAACTATTAAGTCATTTTAAAAGAAACAACAGAGAAATGTTGACAATGCAAACATTAAAGAAAATCAATAGAATTTTTTCGCATATTAGGAAAATGAAAAGATAACTTTTAACACAAGACACCATCCACTTTTTCTCTTTATCCTTTGTTTTTTCTTTGTTTTGAAACGAAAATAGATTTCCTGATTTGTTTTATCAGTATCCCATCGAAGTGCACCATTAAATAAAATAGAAAAAATCTTTTATTCTTAGTTTCACATAAATTAAAAAAGTAATAGTCTAATATAGTGTATCTCTTTCTCTTATGCTCATCTCCCAGTGAAGCATAGGGCCTCACCATATAGTTTATAATATAAAATAAAAATTATCATTAGTAGATATAACGGCTTATAGTTTCATTGCACTACTCTAGGCGATTGTTATATTGTAATATTTTATATGAAGTTTCACAGTAAAAAGTCAAAATGGAAACAAGAAAGCACTCTATTGATGACAAAGAGTCGATACAAAGTCCATCATCATCGCTACTATGTCTATCATCATATGTCATGCTATATTTCGTCTTTACCTTAAGCCTGTAGAAATATTTAATGAATAACGAATATAAGGAGAGACCACACCATAGTTTCCCTACAACATTATCGTTTATGATCCACGTTTCGTTATCTGTGACAATGTCTTGAAAAATGCTTCTGGTTGAATTTTTTTTCTAGTACAATTTGCAGAAGTAAGCTCGTTTCATATTGTGTCATTCAAACTATAATCACATAAACATCGAGCTTATACCAGTTTTATGTATGCAGTCAGACCAGTTTGTCCAGTCAGACTAAAGAGTAGATAATTAGTTTTGAAGTGATTATAATAGCATGAACAATAGATTGTCGGACAGACCAGAGTAAGGAAAAATTAAAAACAAAACAGAGTGTGGTATTTTTTAAAGCTAACTGCAAAGATAATCTTCGTCTTCTAGACTAATCTTCTAGACTATTAATATTTGTATAGGTTTGAATTTTTAACCATATTTAGGTAATTTTTAATCGTATCTAGGTAGATCTTTTGATTCCGAAGCGTAGATTTTTTTTAATTTTTTTAATTTTTTCAGTAATATTTCATATTTCAATTGATATCATTACTTTTGTTGTTCTATTGGCTGAATATAATGGGTTGATGAACATCTTCTGGCATTACTACATCGTCTATTTCTTACTTTCTTTGTAGAGAAGGCAGATAAACTAATTTATTATATATAACCAGCGAATCGGTCATGACATAAAATATCATGTTGCAACCACATGATGAAGTCAGTAGATATAGACGTATATATTTTTTTTCAATATCTTTGATTAAAACTTTTTTACGATTTTTCCAACATTTATCTCGAATTTGATCATCAATTTATCAATTTTTATCTACTTTCAAGATATATTCATATCATGCTTTGATAAAGACAAAGTTTTTCAGTCAAAAAGAATCAGAGTCCATAAAGCTGTACATATATATGTATAATAGATGATTCCAGAACTTGAGGACAACGATTTTTTTTTTATCATATTTAAACAAAGTGCAAAGTTTAAATTAACAACAACTAATCATATAGACAAAGAAGAGGTTTTTAGGTTTTATATTACAAGTAATGTTACTTATCTTAAGCTAGCATATAGATCTGAGAGCAACATCTCCTTGCTGGTTGAAACGCCTCAAAAAGTCCTTTGGTTTGAAGCGTCTTAAACGTCTGTGTGTAACATTGCAGAGTAACGCCAAAATAGTGCTGTTTAAGTGTTAACTCAGCCTGTCAGGATGTGTTTTGGCAGCTTGACAGCACATACCACAGAGTGTAAAGAACGGCATGCCTAAGTACTTTGTTTTGGAACCTTTGTATTATATCTATTATATGATTTTTTGCACAACTTCAATTTTGAACTCCATAGAACCATATGGGCTTGAAGACTTGTTAGTATACCATAAGTTTGTTTTTTGGGTGTAATATTTAGCTCAGTTAGTTTTTCTTCCAGTTTGGCATCTAGGTTCATACCCAGATTTTTCGCAGAATTAGCAATTGAAATTTTTAAGCTGTTTAGAGATAATGGAATTTTAGTTTCTCTTTTGCTAGTAAAGTCTACGTGGTGATTGTCAGTTTCTATTTATTAGTCCATTGTTCAATTTCTTGAAGAGCGGTTTATAGCTTGGTGGTAAACACATTCTTGTTTGTACCTGTAGCCATTATTACCGTGTCATCTGCAAAAGTTTCTACAGTACACCTTGAGTTCACTGGCAAGTCATAAGTATACAGTTGGTGTAATAATGGGGCTAATATATTTCCCTGTTGGACCCCGCGATTTAAAGTATATAATTGTGAATACGACTCATGTAATGAAGACAACGATTGGAAGTCATTGTGTTCACTATAAGCACCTTTCAGCATTTTAAGGTTAAATTAATTGTCTTGAAGTCAATTTTATAAAGCACACTTGAGTCTCGATTTGACACAAAAGTGACATTAATTTTGAAATAAATAATTGATAGTAATGTTATATATCAAATACTAAATAGTTACTTAAGTACTGTCTTCATTGTATAACTAACCTTTCAACATGTTTTCCAAGATAGAGATGAGGTTCATATAGTTAACGATAAGACGATGAGACAAAGACGTCGTCTTTTAACTTCATCATATATACGAATATCATACATATATCTTATTTTGAGTTTAGCGATTATTGGATTCGGATATACTGAACTACTCACGTACACTGTCTTAAAAAAAATCATTTAAGAAAACTTCTCTGTACAAACGTTTTCAATGTAAAGACTGGACCGCAGCTGCGTAGGCGCGTGTTTCGAAAATTAATTAACGCATATTTTGCGTGTTGCTGCCACTTAAGGCTCTTGTGATTCTTGCTCGTTTTCAGTCAAAGTCGTAAAAGTCCTTAAAATAAATCAGATTCACATAACAGGCAACACGCAAGCGTGGGGAACTCAAATTATTTAGTACTTTTTGTGAATGAAATTAATTAAATGTGTTGACAATTCAACAAGAGCAAGTAATTCAAACTTCCCCCGTCTTGCATATGTGAGCATATGGGATGGAGGTCAAAATATACGTATAATTTCGCTTCATGACAGATTAAGATACATGTACGATGTGCCTTCAGAAGCAGTGATTACTGCATGTGACGCTAGTAAGTTTGGAGGAGTTTCAGTAATTTGATTTATGCATGATATGTTATTCCATAAATTTTTACATATGTTATGCATATTACCAGATGAAAATACCACTAATTTACTGTTGCATTTACTCTAATTGAATGTTTTCTTTCTTTATTCTTAGCAATTCCAGGTTTGGGCAAAAGTGGTTCAGATTTTAATACGAGCCGTCCTAACAGTCCACCGACAAGTAATCATACAATACAAAGCCTTAAAAGTGGTAACAATAATGGGTAAGCACAATTGAAATCATCTTTTTATTAAAAATTATATTTCACAATTTTTTTTTTAATATCAGTTTACGCCCACCGTCTGGTAAAACTGCCCACCAAAGTGGCATACCGCCACCAAGCGCCAGCAATGCAGTTGCAGTTGCAGCCCCACAACAAACAAAACACTCCATGTTAGATAAACTAAAACTATTTAATAAAGAAAAGCAACAACAAAATTCAAATATCTCCGTCACCAACAAAACACAAGTACAGTCAAAACGCACTTCTTCTTCATCGGGGTTCTCGTCTGCACGTTCAGAACGGTCCGATTCCAGCTTGAGTTTAAATGATGGACACATATCACAAATTAAACCACCTGCTGTCAATGTGACAGCAAATAAAACACGTGACGCCAAAAACAACACCAAACAATCCAAACTATTAGCTGCGCAAATAAAGAAAGAACATGCCAAGGCTAGCAAATTGGAGAAGAAAGAAAAAAGTCCTGCTAGATCGCTCAACAAAGAGGACATGAATGTAGATAGCAAAAATTCCACAATTGGCAGAACAAAAAACTCATTGCCACGTGTCATTGAGAAGAACTCTGCCAAAACCTCTTCCAAATCATCACTAACCTCCAAATCGGAGTCCAAAACATCACTCATAATGCCCACCACAAAAACTTTGAACAGTCCAAACGGTAGTACTGGACTACCGAAACCCATCGCGGCCATTAAAGGTACCAGCAAGTTACCGCAGCCAGGTGATAACAAGCAACGCATGAGCAATTCAAATTCCAATAATGATATGCTCAAGCGAGAGAAAAGTGACATATCAACAAATACCACAAATAACATATCTGAACGTAGAGAACACGATATACATAGAAACATGCAAGCAGTACCAACAACACATATCGTTAAGCCAGTACCAATATTACCAGAGCCCGGTTCAAAACCACCATTTTATGCGAATACATCTAACATATCATCACCAACAAGAGCACAAAATATTATGCTAGACCCAAATGCTCAACCACGCACACCAACACAAGATATCATTTACAGTCGTCTACCACCACCAAAAAGTAACATAACAACGCCAACAAGAAAGCTCGAATATAGCGCAGGTCCAAATATACTCTCACCACAACGTTCACCTATGCGTACAATGAATCAACTATCACACTCCCAACCCGAAAGTCCGATTTCATCGCCCAACAAATTCCATACCATACCCACTAAAATTGTAGGCACAATTTACGAAGAGGAAAAACCAGTCAATGTGCTGCCAATGCGACCACTGTTACGTGGCTATAACTCTCATGTAACGCTACCGACGCGTGGTCCACGCGGTGCACACAGCTATGTTAACGACTTCTGTGAGAATGATATTGGTCAGGGTTATTGCAGTGACGGGGACGCCTTACGTATAGCAAACACACGTCTAGCGCATGGACCAGCAGCCGCATCGTCCAGGTATCATGATATCGATAATGGTTATCTGTCGGAGGGAAGTGGCGGACTTGGACTGAGTGGAGCCGGTGTGCATGGTAAACACTTTCTAAGTTTGATGCGCGCTAGAACACAGCTCCCCACAACAATTGAAGAACGGTAAGTGATAATAATTTTACTTTCAAATGTGAATTTTTTAATAATATTATTTACTAAATAAAATTATCCTAAAGACTATTATTCAAAAAAAAAAAAAACTTAAAGCATATCGTCACTCTTCTCTATATTGCGGTTAAATTATTCGTGTATGAATCATTTCTGAGTAAAAGATTGTGCGTTTTTTGCCTGTTTGCTTCTTCTTAAGCCCTTCAATTTCGATTTACCTCGAAAATATATTGAAGTTGCGTTGCTACGAACCTCACAACTTCACAAACTGAAAATGTGACTCACACACTTCCCATGGCGAAGTTCTACACTAAATTCACACTAATTTCCGAAAAGACGTAAGAAAAAAAAATCATCAAAAAAAATCCGAAAGGCGTTCAAAGTTTAATTTTATTTTTGTAGATACTTTTTCCTTTTAATTTGTTATATAAAATTTGATGTAGTATTTGTTGAAGTTGTTGTTGTTGTTATTTTTATTGTTGTTGTTGCTGTTGTGTTGGTTTAACACATTCTAATTGTAGCATACGATTCAATTAAGTGGAACTGGGACGCATTGTAAAGGAGGCATGTCGAAAATAACTTCGCCATGTGGTGGGGTTCAAAGCGCGTTCATAGGCAAATTATCGAAAATTTATTCACAGCCATGCAATACCAACAACAACAACAACAACAATAACAACAACATATTTTAATAAAAAGTCTACAAACACATTATATATACACGAATATATACATATATATATTAAAAGTTATGTGGAAAAATTATATAGTATTTACTGGCCAGAATAAATATATTTTATGCCCAGCAAAATGCTTTAAAATCGTTTTAATAATAAACGAAGCATCGAATCATCAATAAAACTTTAAAATTTATCTGCCATTATTATTTGGATAATGGCCTTTATCAGTGAAAGAGAGAGCGTTGGCGTTTCGGTTTTCCGCTTTCAAGTAAATGATCCATGTATCGCTTTTAATGTTTTTCTCATTGATCCAGCATGGATGAAAGGAATCAAATTCACTGCTGTTGTAGTTCATAAAACACGAGTTCTATATTTTTTCCTACATTTATCAAATCGGAAATACTTCAAGAAGTGCGACAAAAATAAATTGCAGAATATTTAAATTCTTATTGAAATATGATGCCTATACGATCCTTAGCTGTTAAGAGCGCTTTGACACTCAAACGGATCTGAGAGTTGGGTATAGTACAGTTTAAGTTGCAAGAAAAGAAGAATATGCGAAAAATAGGGAGCTGCTAGACTCCATCTATAGGAAAAAACAAAATAGGGAGATATTCTTGATCGTTTTTAATTAACATAATAATGAAATAATATATTAAAATTGTCTGCTTAATCCAATAACTTTCTTCAGGTCATTACAACAAAGATGTTAGTGTTCATTTCGATGTATTATTCGAAGACGAACTTTGAAAATAAAAACCACATACCATCAAAAGATACCATATAAATGACCAGCTCTGGTCTTCAAAGGGAACAGTCTTTTAGACAAGACCTTTTTTTGTAGCTTGTCAGGTTGTTCATCGGTAAGGAAAATAAAAATTTATTGGGATGAGCTTAGTTTTTTTCTTCTTTATACATTTTAAAAATTCTTGCCAGAAATATGATATAAGCGCAAAGATAAAATGACCGCGGTCTTTACTGAAATAGTTTTCCATTAAATCTCCTTTTAAAAACATTATACTTAGATATGAATAGCAGCGCTCTCAACAAAACAAAATAGAATACAGATATGACTATAACTACATATAAGTAAATAAGTAAAGGAATATATAAAAATATAAGTAATGTATACCATAAGTAAAAAAAATAAGTGACAAAAGCTACTGACCTACCACTGCAATTAACCAACCAATTACCATCAAATGGATGTTAATATGTATCTTTACAAATCCATCGATATTATTTGATGTTGTTGATGTCCCAACCTGAATAATTCAACTCTTTGAATCGCTTGTTGTTTCTCTATAGTTTGATTTTTCTCTGATAATCTGTGGTTCTATAGTTTCTTAACTGACTTTTATGGAATATAAAAGATTTCACAATAGTAAAGTCAATACTTTCCATGAGGCTCTTTAATCAGTGGAAATTATTATAATTATATTTTTATTATTGGCGGGTTTCTATTTTAAAGACCGGGAAGGAAAGCTAAAAATATTTGAAAACAATTACTAAGCATTATTTTAAATATATTTGATTTTTAATCTTTAATTAGTTAATTTGTAATTTAGTTAATTTTTATTAGTTATATGATGTTGAGTTACTTAAGTAAAAATAAAATAAAAAGCTTAAAGTGATAGAACTCGGGAGAGGTCCTGCGATGCAGGACCAACTAAAAATATTTATAGTATATTATTATCTTATGAGCAATTCCTTCAATCAAATTAAAGCAATTAATAAATAAATAATCATTATTTAAGCAATAATTTATATAAAAATTAATGTGACATTTCCTAATAATTGCTTAAAGTCCAATAAATATGCAATCGTCATCTACATGAAATGTTTGATTCACTTGAAATTACCTGAAAGTGCTTAAAATTGTCTGGATTTGCATAAGTTTTCATCGGTGAGCATGTCAAATGTCACTTACAGTGCTGTCATCTGGTAAACTGACTACAAGCAATAGCTGTCACCTGTCAGTGGTTGTAATGTAAAATCCTTGTGTAGACAATACAACCAAACCACTTAGAAAATTACGACGAATTACAGATGTCGATAATAAATCATTAATAAATCTTATGCATTATTTAATTGTTATTTTGTTTATTATATTATACAAGATACAAAATAATAATTTGTAATATTTTTAATATGCAATATTTCAATATTGAAATACACATTTACATCTTTAATGTAAAAATAATTAAAGTTTATCCAAAACTTAATAATAAAGCATCATTAATAACTCAAATCTATGAACAAATCACTAATAAAAATTTGAAGCTTAAGATATTTTCATATATTTAAAAATAATCTTACTTGATCTACACAGACTTACCATTTAGACCATTAGACCACATAGGATTAGGTATATTACTATGGTTATTAAAGAAACCATTCGTTACAGTATTCCATGCAATATATTATATTGCTAATAGAAAACTAATACGATTTTGAGAAAAACATTATATGTCGTTATCTTTAAAGCAGATCCTATCAAGTGCAGTGGAACTATCTCAACGCTAGACCTAAATTTCCATACCATTTCCATTAGCATAATGAGTTGTGGTCTTCAACTCCTTCAGCGAGAATTTTTTCATGGCATTAATCAACTTGAAACTTTTTTCTAGATGAAATTATTTTATCTTTAAGAACAGAAAATAGTCCAACGTGGTAATAATAGGTGACTACGAAGCTTAGAACCTTACATTCCTTTAGTTTTCACTAAAAACTTTTGTCAAAGAAAAATTTTGTGCCATCGCAGAACACTCAAAATATTTATGAAAAAACTTGAAAGGTGTAATTTTTTCTCTCAGTGCTTTTGATATATTTTCGTCTCTACTCTGACATATTATTTTTGGCTCCATCATGTTTCATCTGCAGCTAAATGATTAAGGTGGCGGCATGCTGGACGAATTTCTAGAAAGATATTTATCACATATTTTTATAAAGTTTACACTTTTCAAACTTTTTGGTCCGTTAAAATGTGAAGCAAAAAGCGAGCATGAACCTATCGTTTGTCTAAATATTCGATCAAAATTCGATGGACTGTATTTTTCGAGAATAGGCTTTGATGAGTCTTGCAGATTCATAACGGTCGCTTGGAAGTATTTGGAAGTATTGTCTGCTCCGCGAGCAGATTTAGGGATTAATGTCCGGTTGTCTTCTTTAAAATCTTTAATAGGATAACCTTCAAAGATCTTGGAAGTCTGTGGAAAAAAAACCTTTAAAGATCTTCAAAATCTTTGGAAGAAAAACCTCCAAAATCTTTAGAAGAAAAACCTCTAAAATCTATGAGAGAAAAACTTCCAAAGGCATTCAACGTCAGACGAAAGAAAAACCGACACATGAGATGTATTCGTTTCCGTACATATAATAACCGGCTTTAAAGCAGAATTATTATTCTCTCAGAAAACTCAGAATGTTTAAAATAAAAAGTTTTATTTCAACTGACCTCAGATTGATTATTTAATACTTTATTTAAGTAACACTTACCAATTTTAAAAATTTTAAATATGTTTTAAAAAAGATTTGTTTAAAAAAAAGATTAAAAAAAGACTGATATTTCTATACATATGGACCATTTAACTCATAGTTATAGAATTATAATTAAAGACATACAGTGAGAGATAAGCAATCCCTTGAAAATTTTAGATGCACTACAATTCAGTATCAAGATATATACACCTGATTTTATCCTGATTCTTTAAAATCGCATTATCCTTAACGTATATGTTATTTTATTTCTGACTAAAGTAAAAACTCCTGCCTCCGATTTCTCTTTATTTATTTTGACATTTATAACACATTTTCCCTAATATCCTCTACGTAATATCCTTTACGACTGCTAGTGCTTTTCTCTGCTAGTGAAGCGAGTTGCATCCCCAATACTTTTTTCTACTGAAAGTAATTTAATGCAGCTTATCCTTGGCATCCTCTTTAAACTGTTGGATTTTTTCATTAATATTTACAATCATCACGTTTGATCTGACAAATTAATGCAGTGTCGTGTTTTTAGTGTTTATTGTAGTTTCATCTCGGAACTTTTTATTCTCCTAGATGTGGTAGTTAAAATAAATATCCACAAAGCTGCGAGCAGGAGTAGCAATAAATAGATGTGAAATATCAAATTAACGTCTGTAAGTTGGAAAATCCACACTTGAAAGTGTCTGCCAGGGATATCAGTCAGTTTTTTTGTACTTTTTTAAATATTTTTTTTTAGAGAATACATACTTTCCACAGAAAAATATTCTAAATTTATCCCTCACAAAGAAGAGTGTAAACTATGGTGACAACATCGAAAATTCATTTCTA